TTTATTTATATCACAGTTCGGCTTTATTATCAAAGGATTCTAACCCATAGTAACCTTGTGTTTTCTGTTTGAATTCAGCCAGTGAAATTTTCAATATCGCATCAGGATGCAACATCATCAATCCGAAGGCAGGCATATGCCTACTGGAACATCGTTTCTTTGATTAACATATGTTTATCAAAGAAACGATGTTCCAGTGCGGATATAAGGAAATCCAAATACGGGATGAAGATCGATCACTTCCAAAAATCGCATGGAGTCTCAGCAGGATGATTGGACTGATGTCGTTGGCGAAATGCAATGCGCGGGATATGTAAATCGGTTCCAATGACAGCTGCAGTTTCCGTAGAAATGTCGAAGACATATTGGAATTCCTAGTCCGCGTTACTGAGATGCTTCTTTCATATATACATATCTATTGTCTTTGATTATAGGGCATTGGCAACAGGTTCCAATATTCCTGAGTATTTTCCTATCAAACCAGCAGATATTCGTATAATAAATTGTTAATTGGTAGCAGCACAATATAAGTGGTAAGCGTTTTTTCTTGCTGCAGCATTAAATTCAATCCTAGATACTAAATCTGACTAGACTATTTTAAAAGATACGTATGAAAATCACTACAATGTACCAGATTATGTTGGTGTTTCGTCATCCAGGCCTGACGTATTCCCCTTTTTTAGGCACATCAAACATAAGTAAAGTACTAATAGAGCTTACTGTATCATACAAACATTCCAAAATACCTCACAATAAAATTGAATAAATATTACGATCTTACCAACGATCTAACCAAAAATGGCTATCTAGTTAATTTACATGCGGTAGAAGAAGGAGCGAGAGGTATACCAGCAAAATCTTTCTATAACCTTCTAAAAGACCTCGGCCTATCGAGAACTGCAGTAAGTTTAATTTTGGAACGAGTAACTAAGGCTGCACTAACAGACTCCTATCAAGTTTGGCTAGGAAGGGCGGGCAACTCAAGCAGTGAAGGTGAGCGTTGATGCGTATCTCAAAGGGGGCCTCCTTAAACCTACACCCGGATGGCAAGGCCCGGGAACTGCTCAGAGTTTCTCTCTCTGCCACACGGTGGACTCGGCACCCGCACGGTGAAACCATGGATTGTTAAGAATTTCGTCTCACATACAATTAATGAGAATAGATGTCATTTTCTGATCTTTTTATGACCACTAATGAAACTTCATTAAAGTTTATGACGGGTTTATAAGAAATAATGAGAATGAATTTTATTTTATTGGGAAATCTGACAACTTATAAAACAAAAAATCCGGGGATCCGGATTGGGATGGGATTCAAAGATATAGCGAAAAGATTGGTGGAGACCACTGGAGACCGCAGAGCTGGCGGCTATTTCGCCCAGCGCATAAGCCTCGCCATTCAGCGGGGAAATGCCGCCAGCGTCCTGGGAACCTTTGCCGACGGGGAAGTAACATTATACAGACTGCACACTTTAAAATAATCCTTATATCCATCATTTTACGTCCAAGAAATGCTTAACGTAGGTACGTACGAAATCACTTCACTGTTTACGAGTAGTCCTATCGAAATTAGAGCTTTAGTAACGAGACTAATGAGAGTGATGTGCGATTCTATAATTTTTTTAGTCTTTATATTTAGTTTTTGGATTATTTATTATTTAATTTTTGGTTCTGAAGCTCCTCGATCTAGGGGGGGGCAGCTGCCCCCCCTTGCCCGTACCTGGCTACGCCCATGCCCCTACAGAAATATTAAACTAAAGACTGAACTATATTTATCTTACGTGTTGTGTTGTGGCGCGATCTGGTTCATACATTTAGTACGGTTAGCACTAAGAACTATACAGAAGCAGATCTCTATTAAAAAATTTAGACATATTAAAATTGACAATCCAGTTAAGAAATGTGTATTTATTGCTGTTTTGGACATTTTGCTTATTTTTCTATTAAAATTTTGACTATTAGTATAATTGACAATGGCTTATCAAATTTATAATTAATTTATAATCTACTTTGACATACATGTAACAATAGACAATTTCAAATTATGTTCATAAATTGTGATTCCAATGTAAAAATAATAGTACTTCTTTCATAGGTCCTTATCTATTTGTATACCTTAATTAAGGTGGAAATGTAGTGATACTAACAAAAATTATATATACCATGTATATGTATACTAACCTATGTTTCACAAATAAAATTCTGAAATTCTGATTCTGATTAAACCTGTGTGTCGCGATGTGTCGACAGCGTTCTCACATTAACCATAATTGTATGAAACAGATAGCTCTCTGATGTGTTACAATACAACACGACAGGTAAGTGTAGTTCTATTATAATGCGGTTAAATGAAAAGAAAAGCGAGTGTGCTTAGGAACACACGACTGGAAGTGAAATTTCTATAGCTCCAATGATCTGTAATTTGATAGAAAAAAACCATCAATCCGCGCTGGGTCCGTTATCACACACCAATCCGTGCTGGGTCCGTTATCACCCACCAATTCGCACTGGGTCTATTGCCACCCACCAACCCGCACTGGGTCCGTTATCATCCACCAATCCGCACTGGGTCCGTTATTATACACCAATCCACACAGGGTCCGTTATCACCCACCAATCCGCGCTGGGGCCATTATCACCCACCAATCCGCACTGGGTCCATTGCCACCCATCAATCCGCGCAGGTCCCGTTATCACCCTAAAATCCACACTGGGTCCATTATCACTCACCAATCCGCGCTGGGACCGTTATCATCCACTAATCCGCTCTGGGTCCGTTATCACCCACAAATCCGCGTTGGGTCCGTTATTATCCACCAATCCGCTCTGGGTCCGTTATCACCCACCAATCTGCGCTGGGCCCGTTATCATCCACCAATCCACGCTGGGTCCGTTCCGTTATCATCCACCAATCCGCACTGGGTCCGTTATCACTAGTGTTGCCAGGTCCGATTTGTTTTAAGTCGGTACATGAGGTGAAAAACATCGGGACTTAGGGTTGTAGATCGGGACAGTAAACAAAAAACTAGGGTTTTTTAGTCTGGGTTTATTTTTTGCGATTTAAACCACTAGTGCAAGTATAGTATTATATTAATTACCTAACTTTCATTTTTTGATTCATCGGGTTATTTAGCGTCCCGATCAGGTACAAATCAGGACGCGTCCCCACACCCCTGAAAATCGAGACATCCCGCACAAATCTGGACACCTGGCACCACTAGTAATTACCCACCAATCTGCGCTGGGTCCGTTACCATCCACCAATCCGCGCTAGGTCCGTTATCCAGGCCACCTAGCCAAGCACTAGATTTATGTATTTTGTGACAGGTATTGTTCATTGTTTACCGATGAGTCACCGATGACACTAATCGTTACGCGAAATCGTAACTATTCGCCAGTTTACCCCCCAAGTCAAGCGTGCCTAAAGAAGTTTCACTTCAAAAAACATTTTAACAGAGCCATATTAATTATATTTTTTTGGGCACACAATAAACATAAAGAAGAAGTACGGAGGACATAGGTACATCATGGTGGTACGAACGTATCGTACGTATTTACGACTTAACAAAGCAAGCACTTATTTTTAAGTTACCTATTATCTTTATAATTGAAATATAGGTACCTCAACAACAAAAGTTTTATTAGGTAAGATATGGTAGGTTATTGGGTTTGAGCTTTGAGTTGGTATATAGATATAGGTAGGTATTTGTTAAACGTCACCTTCGTAGCGAGCGTTGGATTCGATGTAGTTTACTGGGTGATTTGACGAATAGAGTTGACAATGTACAACGAATAGTGATGGCAATGTAGTGAAATAAATCAATGAGTGAAACGAAACGCATTCGTCTAATGTTGCAGTGAAGCGTTATCGAAAACGGACGGAAAAGGGACGGAATATGTAAAAGGACATCGATGGGACGCTTTGATGAGAAAAGGGACGAAAATCGTCCCTTTTGGGACGTTCTGGCATCACTGATCCCGAGACATATCCATAGACCAACTTACTTACTTAGCCATAGACACAGATCAATAATCAATAGATAGACTAAAAACATAACACCTATCACTAATTTTACTAATTGCACATTTACAAATTATTTCCCTAAATAAACTTTTTATATACTATAAAATGATTTTTAGTATTATTTTCTTAATAAGTGTGTTAAAAACGTCGTATGATGATACTTGTGTGTATTGATGATTACCTAACGGCTCTGGTCTCAATGGCACCTCAGCGGTAATCACCAACATTACACACTTTTACAGAGTATAAACTACTATTTTATCTATAATAATTTTATTCTGATTCAATTAAATATGCTTAGCTAAATTTTTTATAAGCATAGGAACCTACTATATATAAAACAGAAACAAAATACGACTGTATAGTGTGTCTTAATTACCTATTTTACTTGAATGAACTGCTAGTATCAAAATCATTTTGGTCCGACTGTATAGGGTTGCTACATGCATACTAGTGGCGCCATCATTTAATGTCACGACTTTATAGACAAACTGTACGCGAGCTTATTATGAAAAAGTAGCAGATTTTACGTGTCTGAGTTATGAGTTTTCCTTGAAATAGAATTATAGAAGACCTCAGGATATAGAATGATAGAAGAATATGAACCTAAGTAGACCCCAGCAGGCATTAGTTTTTTTTTTATAGAAAAGTCCAACAAATGACTCCGCCCCACCTGATGTTAAGTGACGGTGAAGTCCGGATGTGAAGATAGCTGGTACAGTGACTTGCATGTGGCTTCTTCACGCCTCTTTTAAAGGATCCTAGGTTTTAAGAAGGAGGGAACACGTGAGCGGGCAGAGTTTGCTGAAAAAGATGAAACCTCATTTGTTAGCATAACTACACGCCGGCGTCGTCACAATCCGTATTACTCCAAAATGCGCACTAAAGTTAGTCTTGGTTTAAAAAGAAAAGGGACAGCATCAATTTTAGTCCAGTGATTTTTATATGTAATAAGAATTTATATGTTTCATTCACAGCTACGCATATGGAGCTTTCACTAGCAACGAAGCGTTCACATTCGCGCAAGCTGCGGCGCAAATTAAGAAATGCCTGGAAATCTCGCAGAGGTTAAACGCTGAATGCTTCCTCCTATGGCCCTGTAGAGAGGGCTACGACAACACATTCCAAACAGACGTCTCCAGAGAGATAAAACTTTTCGCAAAACTATTAAAATTAACCGCGGAATACAAAGACAGGCTAAACTACAGGTGTCAGTTGCTAATAATGCCTTATTACAATTGCCAGTTGAAAAAATACGCGCATAATTTCGGCTGGCAACCCCACGGTTGGCGGGAAGGCGAAGTTCTGAATCGCTACATGTGGGATGTGACCAGTTGTCTGTATCTGTTGAAGAATTTCAACTTGGATCGTTATTATAAAGTTTGTTCGCCACCCGGGCATCATATGTGTATGGCTATGGTGTAAGTAAAGTCTTAATTAATTTATAAAACAGTATTGTTATGTAAGTACGAGTATACATACTAGGCATGGATTACAGAAATTAGTTCCAGGGAAATATTATTTCAGGGAAATGTATAATATAATGTTAGTGGTGTTGATTCTGTTTGGTTTCCCTAAACCTATACTTAAATTTGACAAGTGTATCCTAGTCATTCTCTATATAGAATGAAAAGGAGAGACTGCTGGTAAAGGAGATTGCTCAGCTTCCTTACATGTTTGGCCTAAAGACCAATAATCATGAAAAATTGTTTCCTAGATTCGAAATTATATATAAATTACTGTAGAAACGAATATTATTGACGGACACCCCTGAGAACTTCTATAAACCATATACACTGAACATATTAAAATAATAGAAAACAAATAAGTTATATAGTAAACTAGGGAATTCAAGCCAAGTACCGAAATTATGGATTAGATTCAGGTATATAGAGCATGTAGATTAACAGATAGTTGCCTGTTTTTAAAGTTAATGCATAAGAGTAACTTTTAAAATCAGGTGTCATTTCCGGTTATAATAAGGTACTCTGTGACAGAAACTGTGTGATGATTGTGAATGAGCCACAGAGTAGAGAGAATTTTCAACTCTCGTTAACCAAAGAAAGCTAAGAGATTTAGGTTCTATAGCCATATATTCAGTAGCTTCATTATTTTTGTTATGTTTTTAAGATAACCATATTTTAGATTTTTAGTGTATCACACCTTATAATTTTATTTATTTATAGTCAGGGAACGTAGGCCCATAGATAGATACCTTAAAGTCTAACATATAAACAGATTATAATGTGTTTATGGAGGTGTTTGGCGAAAAATGTATGGCAATAAACTTTATGATGTCGCCTACCATCTATAATAATTGTCTGAGCACATTTGCATCTAGTGAAAAGGATAATATAGTTGTGGATATTAATACCACAGTGTTATAAAAAAAATGATTTATTTTTTCGATCTTTACAAAATAGATTTGTTTTTATGTTATATAAACAACTTCGATTAGTCTTTGGCTGAATGTCACTACACCCTTAGCCATGAAAAATGATTCGTATGTTTTCCAAACCGGTAAAATTAAAAGTCTTTTTTAAAGTAAATATATTATACAAAGGTGTCTGTTGAAATCTAATGACTGTAAATTAAATTATAAATTACGCCTAGAATTACCGTGCATGTCAATATTTTTTGTGCATTTAGGCCAATTTGAGCAATCTCCTTTCGTTTTAAGTTAAGAGAATCGTGCCGGAATCGACACCAGTTTTTTAATAAGAATGTTAAATGACGCAGACCTCCAGATGGTAAACGAACACCACAGCATTTAAAGACGCTTGTGATACCAATATATTACTCGTTGCTTACTCTTACCTAGGGTAATCAACTATTTTTCTATTAAATATAGTATTTTCGAAGTGGTTACCTCTAAAAATATAGTAGATGGCAAAAAAATTTAAAAATATATAGTATGTGGTTAAAATATTTATTTTATTTTTGAAATGAATAAAGTTATTTTTGCTGTTCTATGCCTTCATTTTTTATGCAAAAGTATGCTTTAAGAAAAATATAGTATATAAAAATATACTATATATATCTTTATATATATAATTCTTCTGTGAGTGTGTATGTCACTGAACTTCTCTTAAACGACTGGACCGATTTTGATGAATTTTTTGTGTGTGTTCAAGGGGATCTGAGAATGGTTTAGATTCACAATTTTGTCCGCTGGACAACCCCTAATTTTTTAGGGCGGTACGAAGTTCGCTGGGTCAGCTAGTATATATATATATATATTGAAATATAGTATTTGATCCCCTAATATAGAAGGATACTATATTATATAGTAGGGTTGGCAACTCTACCTGACCCCCATGCCTACTGGAAAATTTACTCATCCACGTGTTCATTACTTGCTGATTTAGATACAATATGCTGGGTGGTGTGAGGCTGAGCAATGCCATCGACCATTACGACAGCAAGAGTTTCACCCTCATGATGAAGGGCATCATCGATCAGGTCAGTATATATAATGCTTGTTATATTATTATGGCACAGGTGGTTAGCGCGTTCGGCTGCGATTGTTGAAGTTAAGCAACTTTTGCAGTGGTCGGTCATTGGATGGGTGACCAGAAATTTTCTATCTCCGTGTTTTGGAAGGCACGTTCAGCCGTTAGCTCCGGCTGCAGCTGCAGTCATTAGCACCCGCTAATCCGCATTGGGCCCGCGTAGTGGGTCATAGCCCAATCTCCTTAAGGATTGAATAGGGAGATTGGGCCTGTGCCCCAGCAGTGGGTACATTAATAGGCAGATGATGATGAAGATAATACTATTAGTTTTTTTCGCCAGAGCGTTATCGCAACAGTGTTTCGAGTTAAAATTCGTGTCCAATAATTCAATTAAGCAGTAAGCAATTTTTTGTTAGTATTTAGAACGATATCTTCTTTTAAAGCTGATGGGCGTTGTTTTGTCGAGAGAAACTCGATAGCGCAGGTGGTTAACGCGTTCGGCCTCGTCTCGAGCTCTATTTAGAGCTATTGGTCCCGGGTCCAATCTGTGGTCGTCCAATCTCTAATGGGCGGGCGTGGTGAGTCGCGGTCCATTCTCCATATTCTATTCATTGGAAAGGCCTGTGCTTCAGCAGTGTGGTCATTAATAACAATAAAAAACGAGTTTGCTTATGACCACACGATTGATCGTGTTTGGATGGATGTCTAATTGTGACTAAAGCGAATTGTGGTCATGCACCACAATTTAAGCGGATCACTTTTTAGACGCGTGTGCCGTATCTGCCCTTTTTGTTTTAATCTAAGGTGATACATTGTCAAATTTGCGGAGATTATAATAGTCATCATCATCATCAGCCTATTAATGTCCCCACTGCTGGGGCACAGGCCTTCCCTATGAATGGAATAGGGATATTGGGCCATGTTCCACCACGCGGGCCCAGTGCGGATTGGTGGGTGTTAACGACTGCAGATGCAGCCGGGACCAACGGCTTAACGTGCCTTCCGAAGCACGGAGGAGCTCGAGATAGTAAATGTTTGGTCACCCATCCAATGACCGACCACTGCGAAAGTTGCTTAACTTCAACGATCGCAGCCGAACGCGCTAACCACTTGCGGCATCGAGCTCCTCATAATAGTATGATGATGATTTGTCGTCAGGGCACAGCGCCCCCAAGCGGTATTTGTCTGAACCTGCGGGGTCGTCGCTCGGGTGACGCACGAGACCTGCTCACTTTACACGTCAAATATATAGACGCGGCGGCCAAAGGACTGCGTTTCGCGGCCAGCATTATAGCCGAGCAAACCTTCTCCAAACATTTGCAGGTACCCACATTTTTATATTCATAGCTCAGGAGCTCTATTTTTGAATCACTCGTCTTGTGTCGAACGCTCGATTTCTACTAAATTTCATTCGATATAATAATTCCGTATTTTTGAATCGCTCGCGTGCAATGAATGGGTGAGACCACTCGCTGCATGGCGAATGGTGGAGGCGAATGTTAGAATCATTGTCAATTTTTTTGTGGTATTAGACGACGATACTCTATCATTGTCATGCTTTATATGAAACGACAAAGAGTAGTAGTAATTACCAGTTTTTATTATTTGAGCTCCTGGAGCTCTATTGTTGAGTCACTCGCCTGACATAGTATCGTCGAATGCGACATAAGTCACCTTCGACTTTCAAGTCGCATAATACTGATTTTCCATAATTTTGAATCATTCGTCACCGGTGTTAACTGTTTAATACGAAATATAAAATTTTACTCAGTTCACGCAGAAAAAATAAAAACCGGCAATTACCACAATGAAAATGGAACAAAAAATTCTCGTTGTCGTTTCATATAAAGCATGACAATGATATATTATCGTCGTCTAATAGCACAAAAAATTTGACAATTATTCTATCATTCGCCTCCACCGTTCGCCATGCAGCGAGTGGTCTCACCCATTCGTTGCACTCGAGCGATTCAAAAATACGGAATTAATTATGTCGAATGAAATTTAGTAGAAATCGAGCGTTCGACGCAAGACGAGTGATTCAAAAATAGAGCTCCTGAATACTTACCGGAAAAACGACGAGCGCTTACGGCAGTGTTTCCTAACCTTTCCAATACTGCTACCCCTGTAACCTATTAGGAAAACAGATTTTACCCCGACTTTAAAATGTTATCATCAGTCCAAGAAATTCCAATTTGGCCGCTACATCTTCGTCTCTAATAATGTCATCATCAGGAGAAAATCTCGCCCCGCTTCCCACACTCAGCAGCCCGCGGGCTCGCTACAAGAAGGAGCGCATTTAGTAGTATTATTATATAGGGTGAAATTGAATGTTTCTATGAAACTTCGTGAGATTGTTGGGTTATGTGTATAGAGTATGCCTGTCTTTTTTCGGATTTTTTTGAAGTATATTTTTTTCATGTATTTATTTATAATTTGTGTATTTTTATGTCCTTGCCTCGTTTTGAGTAGTTATTCATTTTAAACAAACAAACTTACATATCCAGTGAAAAACAACTAATAAATAAGCACTTCTAAAAAACGGAAAAACATTGAAATTCCACCGCGGGTCCGCGCCCGCCAGCCGTTGAGTAAGTAGCTACCTAACTCTACACAGAGCTCAACTGACTCGTTTGAATCCACACAATAGGTACAATAAAATCGTCTTAGATGCCTTTATTGAAATTGAAATAATAAGCACAAATGTCATCTTTTCTTAAGCAGAGAAAAACTTTAAAAGTTAATAATAATTTTGTCACGATTGGAAATAGGCAAATGTTAAACAAAAAGAAATACTTATTGCTTAATACCCCAAGAATGAAATTTATAACCAGGTATTCAAAAGTACTTACGAGACCGGCGATTTAGGTAGGTACAACGAGGAACGAGGAACATATTCATTTTTTTCACTAGAACTTTTTATCAAATCAATCACACTGGTAGTACACAATTAGTTGTTTCTAATCAAAAAGTATTTACACTAGCAATAAAAAGAGACTTACATTATTATCTGCAAAATTGTTGCTCTAAACCACCATTTTGCTGCAAACAAAGGTTGCCTGTTTGCGGACGTGTCTTTTCACCTTTTTTAAAGTGTCCCTATCACTACTCACTGCACAAAATGCAACTTCTATGGTTTAGGGACTCATTCGTAAACCAAACCTACTTCGTCACACTCGCGATAGCAGTACACCATCTCTAAATATTCTTGGTTTGTATACCGAGGCATAATGAAATTATCACAGTGTATGTCACCAAGTCAAAAGATGCGCACGCTCACGCGCGATTGATATACTTGCGACTGCGTTTTGCATGCAATCAAAGCAAACGTCCGCGTGCGGGGAAGAGGGGAGGTGGGCGGAATTCACATCATCAAAGACGCCGCAACCGGCGCTAGTTGCCAGCGTGCGGCGCGCCGCCCGCCCGTGCTTGCCGCAAAACAACATATTATTATGTGTGTGTGTGTGTGTATGTGTGACTGTGGCTGTGATTAAATGTGTTCGGAATTTCATGACGTGGGCAAATCAGACACGAAGAGTTCCTTCCTTCCCTAAGCTCGTAAGTTATACCGATTTGCTCTTAATTTTAAGAAGATTTATATTATTGATTAATTACCTATGCTTTATGAAATAATATTCAAAGGTATTGTGTATCAGTGAATAAATAATTATAATATAGCATCTAAGACTATTTTATTGTATTGTTTTTAAATAGTGTGGATCAAAGCGAGTAGGTAAGCGCCGAGTCATCTGTGCGTGTAGTTAGGTACCTACAGGCGGCCGCCGGTCGTCGCCCTGACCGGCGCTGATCTCGACTGTAGGCATAATGAAGGCATTCATTAAGTTTCCGTTTTTTTAGTAGTGCTTATTTTAAGTTGCTTTATAACTTCTATGTAGACGTGTTTAAAATGAATAATTACTCATAAGGAAGAAATGACAAAAAAATAACCAAATAAAAAATTAAAAAACGAAAAAAAATATTTTAAAAAATCCGAAAAAAATCAGGCATACTCTATACATGTAACCCATCAATCTCACGAAGTTTCATAGAAACATTCAATTTCACCCTGTATAGTATTTTCTTATTATTTAGATTTGATCAAATAATTAGGTTCTTTGTTACCCCGAAGTGTGGCTGATTTACCCCCGGAAGGTAATTACCCCCAGGTTCGGAACCCAGGGGGCCAATCGCCTAACGATAATGCTGTGGAAAACGCTAACGCTTACGATTTTATTTTGTTATTTCTAGCCGCCTGAGGTATTCAAATGCTTCGCGCTCTTTCTTTTTCTTTTGCATTGGTAATAACAATATTAAAAAAAATTAGCGTGAGGTATTCGAAAACCTCAGGCGGCTAGAAATAACAATATAAAATCGTAAGCGTTAGCGTTTCCCAAAGCATTTCCGTTAGGCGATTGGCCCCCAGGGCTTACGACATACTGTCCGCTAAAAAACCTTGCGAGTACCATCTACGCTGTTAACTGCGGAATCGCGAGTTCCCCGTTGAGGGACTTCACAGTGTGATTTTACAGTGGTCTTCTGAAGCCCAAGCGTGAATTTTCACAGCTCCATAATCGGATTTCAAATTTTCTACGGAAGGAGCTAGTCCGGTAGGGGCGTTGCGTAGTTTTCATAAAAGCTTTGACGATGCGATACGATTACTGTACCCTTAGCACGAACCAATATTGAATTCGAATAGTTTGCAAACCGAAATGTCAATGTCAAATTTTGTATGGAAACTTGAACCGCAGCGGCACAAAGTACGTAACGAGAACTTAAAATCAGGACACATTTGACAATGACATTTCGGACTCGCAAACGATACGAACTCGATATTGGTTCGTGCTAGGGGTACTGTACCCTTAGTACGAACCAATATTGAATTCGAATAGTTTGCGAGTGCGAAATGTCATTATCAAATGTCAATGTTATGACGCTGCTGTTCAAGTTTCCATACAAAATTTGACAATGACATTGCGAACAAGCAAACTATTCGAATTCGATATTGGTTCGTGCTTAGGGTAGTGTACTCTTAGCACGAACCATTATCGAATTCGTAACGTTTGCCAGTGCGAAATGTAACTGTCAAATTTTGTATGGAAACTTGAACTGCAGCACCGCAACGGACGTAACGAGCACTAAAATCAGTACACATTGACAATGACATTTTGCACTCGATAACTATACGAATTCGATTTTGGTTCGTGCTAAGGAACAGTACCCCTAGCACGAACCATTATCGAATTCGAATAGTTTGCAAACCGAAATGTCAATGTCAAATTTTGTATGGAAACTTGAACCGCAGCGGCACAAAGTACGTAACGAGAACTTAAAATCAGGACACATTTGACAATGACATTTCGGACTCGCAAACGATACGAACTCGATATTGGTTCGTGCTAGGGTACAGAGCTGTTAAAATTCCGACTTAAGCCTCCGTAAGGTGGAGGCGTCTTCTTCCATTCGAGTGGAAATCCAGCTTAGAATATGACACTGTCTTATATTTATTTACATAAATGAATTGTTGTAACGCTGACGCCGAATTCTTCCACAGCAACGGTACATTACGTACCACAGCGGGTTCGGTTCCCGTTTGGTGAGCAGTGACGTCACGATGGAAGAATGCGAGGATTTTTGCAAGTGAGTGTTAACAATGATTTTTTATAGATAGGCCTTAGATTGAAACAAAAAGGGTAGATACGGTACACTCATACTTGCATCAAACAAAAACTGATCCCACGGCAGCGCGAACGGGACGGCGAGATCCGCGTCACTGCATTACCGACCCGAACGAAACAGCACGTTAAGTTTCAACGGCAGCGCGAACGAGACGGCGAGATCGGCGTCACTGCACTACCGACCAATCACGCGACCAGTACTCGACGTCACTACCGAATAAGATTCAAAACAAACAGCAATTTTTATGAAAAAAATTATTTTATAGTACTTACGAATGAAAAGTGATGCCGTGGGTTTTATTTTTAGTTCTTGAGCAATTTGAACAGTTTTTAAAAACACACTTAGGTATTCTTTTATCATATAAACACAAAATATTAGCAATATTTCTTTTTGGCGTTCACATGTCAAGTTGTGACTAAAGCGATTAGGGCCGTGGACCACAATTTATGCGGATCACTTTTGTGAGGCTAGTGCCGTATCTAAACTTTTTGTTTTAATCTAAGGAGATAGGCCCGATAAATGACTCCCCCCACCCTGATGTTAAGTGACGGTGAAGTCCAGACGTGAAGATAGCTGGTACAGCAGTTCTACCTGCCACACCAGCCATCCTCACCCTGCCTGCCGGCCTGCATGTTGCTTCTTCATTATTATTCATGATTTATTTTTCAACCTCCATAATTGTGGTAAGGCCAATAGATATCATATTAAACATTTTTTTTCAATTCTTATTGACATATTAATCCTAATTAAAATTTTCAATTCTGTTTGTAGGTTATGATAAAATAGAATTTCTTGTTGCAGTAAGCCTAGTAATATTTTTATTAATTGTTCACAATCAATTTCACAGACATATAAATAACAAATATTTCCAACACACACAGTGCCGTCTTTGACCTATTCGAGGCCCTGGGCATATTAGGATAATGGGGCCCTATGACCCCCGTTTGGTGATTTAACAGGAACTAGGGACTTTGTATTTGATCTGAGGGGCCCCTATCGATCGCGGGGCCCTGAGCACTTGCCCAAAGTGCCCACTGGGAAAGAGGGGTCTGAACACACACCAATTAGCCTAGCCCCAAAGCAAGCACTGTAGGCTTGTGTTATGGGATACTAGGGGAACGGATAGAATACATATACTGATACATACATACATGTAGTATTGATACATAATCCAGTCATAATACAACACCTTTGGTTTTATTGTTTTCAATCAATAATTTTTTTTATTGATTAAATTGTAAAAAAACTAGGTAGATTCATTGAAAAAAACAAAAATATTCATCACTTTTCGTGCAATGAAGTTATGGCCATGCTGTAGAAAGATTTTTTGTTGGAAATAACCTTCTTTATCTCCCTGTTTCGTTTGATCCACGACTTTTTGATCACCCTGTATAAGTATATTTATATAAAAATATATATTAAACATTCATGACTGGGGTACAAATGCTCGTATTCATCACACAAACACATCTATTCCCACCGGGATGCGTACCCGGCACCTCAGGACCTTAAGGATTTTTACTTTAGTATTTGGACCGATCGTATTAAAGTGCCTAGATTCCTCTCGCCAGCAATTATAAATTCTCTATGTCTGTCCGCGTTTGTTGCAAACAATTAATTACATCTATACGGGGAAGCCCTCTTTGGTTTCCAAACATGCTTTCATTGTGTAACGGGCTTTGAGTTTTCTAAGAAACCTTTGTTTTATACATACATTGTCCACGCCATTCAGTACCATGCCAGTACTTAGAAGCTTCCGTTGAAACCAAACGCCATGATAACTCAATGAATTTCATTAGTGGTCTGTTTTCCGTGCAGTCGGTGTTTATGCTTTATATTTAGATTTGATCTCAAAATGAATATTTTAATAAATCACTTTTAAACGGCATAAAATATCATACATTATAGTGCAATATGTTTTCGTTAAAATGTTTTGGGTGGACATTTTGTGAGCGAACTGTGCGTCTTATTATTATAGGCCTTGCTTAGTTTCTTGCTGGTTCTTCTTAGTACACGATCCATCAGATGATGGCATAGCGTTCGACTTTCACTTTGAGCTTGTAGTAGCCCAGTCTGAATAAATGAGTTTAAATTTTGAAATAGTGCAATGTTGGAACTTTCAGAAAAACTCAAAACCAAACCAGTGAGCCCTCCAGATCTGAACATATGGACTTGTTCTTCCAACGCTATTTGGACACGAGTGATCGCATTTGACGAAAGGAAACACTGCGTTTTTAGTTGTAAGTACTTTATAATGATATCCTAATACTATTGTTCTTCTTGTAGGTAAAAATTGTAAGGTACATGATGCAAATAAAGACTATGCTGAAATAAGGCCTGTAGTGCAGAAAAGTCTATTGAAGAATATTTACTAGACTTGCAACGAATAGTATATTCGGCAGTATACCGAATACTGAATATTCGGCGAGGCCCCTGACCGAATAGCCGAATGTTAGGCAAAAGTATTCGGCTGGATTTTAGCGCCAAAAACTTGTACAGACGTGATTGTTTCGCGCTCCTTTGTTTTGTTCTAATCTGCCGACCTCAAGCTAAAATGCGGCTAAATGACAAAACTAACTCTTGAGATATGGCCAAAAACGGCGCGTAAACTTTAAATTATTGCTATTATGTAACCATTCATCACATAACTGAATGAATTAAAAACTGTTAACTTGTTTAATACAGAAAATGATTAAATTATGTACCTGTTTTATGTACCAATAAGTACTTAATAAATGATTATAAAAGAAATGAGAACCTTGCCCTTTCTAAATTTTGATTACCACAATAATTCAAATACATAGAATCGTCCATTTTTCCAAATCAGAAGATGATTATGTACCTGTGTTATGTACCAATGACTACTTAAATGATTGTATAACAGAAATGAAAATATGAATATATACGTAATCAATCGATTTTAATTTTTCATTTTACCAATTATTTCTCTATGACAAAATATATTATTTAAGTATTCGGTATTCGGCCGAATAATATGTAGATATTAAATATTCGGCCGAATAATAACCGAATATTCGTTGCAAGTCTAATATTTACATCAAAATATTTTACACACGCATAGACGACAGTTCTTAAACTCAGTAAACTACACGAGCGGTCCGCTCGATCTCATAGCGTCAATAGTGGCGGTGTACTTTATGAAGGATGAGAGTTTTCATAGCGCGTTATTACTGTCGTAATTTTTATCGAATTTTAATACGTTATTCTGAGAAAATTTGTATCATGTAATGTATACCTACGGATCACAATATAACTAATCAAAAAGTTTACTATGACTTAAAATTGAACTTTTTAGGATATGCGAATTAAATACTACCTTCTTTTTTAACTTTTATGAAGTATAATGAACTTAATAAAGCCTACTTTTATAATAGGCCTTATTTTTATCAAATACATCTATCAAAATATATTCATTTTCTAATATTTAATAATATTTTTGAGAAGATATGTCAATTTGCTAATTTTTGTTTCTATCGATTTGGGTTTTTTTTTTATATTATTCTTTATCTCTTGTTAATATGCGACTTTAAATCTGACTAGCAAATTACATATTTGAATATAATTTATACTCTAGTAACAACATTCCTATAATTTAAGTACATAGGCTATGTTAAGTCACTATGTTTTAAAAGGCCTAAGGCTAAGGTTCCAGAATTAGCTCTTTTTAAATGATTTCTGATAATAGATTGTAATATGTTTTCTTAATTACTTAAAATTTATAAATCAAAGAATAATACCTTGCTTTTATTTATCACCTTCGAATAATTTATCACGATGTGAGTTTTTGAAATTAGGTAGGCCTTCTTTGTATCACTTACCTTAATTCATTTAAATGTGTCGTTTTGGTATTAATGTTTGGTATGTTTTTGGGGTATGGGTTATTTGAAAAGTAAGCATCATTTGCAAAGTACACTGTAGTGTTTTTTTTTTATAAGAAAACATACTATTTATCCGTCGGACGTTATTATAATGCAGAGAAAAGCTCCAAAATGAGTGAAAATACAAAGTCAACATTATTTATATGTATTTACTATGAGTATATTTGTGTTAATATATTAAATTGTTATAAAATATGAATGCCAAATATTATATAATAAAGTGCATAAGTAAAGGATATAAGTAATACCTAATTTTAACCTCGAAAGTTGGCTTCCTCTATATATAAAATGGAAATTTATTCAACCTCAATAGGGTATTTGACAGTATTAAAAATAAAGTGCCATATGTTAGCATCTGTGTTTAGAATTGGCAGGGGTTTGTACTGTTTTTACAAAAAAATATTCATAATTTTACTAAAAACCCAGGAAAAAGATAAGTTTTCTTATATATTGTCACGTGACCCAAAACGCTTGGGATTGGCGGAGCCTAAAATGACGTCACACGCAGGTAAACTTCCGATTAAAGTGACATTAAGTTGTGAGTGTATTCCGAATCTGGCGAGTGGTAATGACGTCATGATTTCGACCCTATATTGACTACACTACTACTAAACCAGTGCAATATGGCGTCGAAATCATGACGTCATTACCGCTGGCCAGCGTACTGGTTTATATTTCGGAATACACCCTCTATCGTTTGACGTCACCCACTAGTAAGACGCCATATTGTACAGAGAAATGTTTTCGCGGCAACTTGAAAATGGAGTTTTTGATCTGGTTATTTTTACTGAAATACACAACAGAATGATGAATATCAATTTTTACTGACTCCATAAATAATATTCAATCACGTGAGATCGTTTTCTAAAACTTGTCAAATACCCTTTTCAATAAAAGTAAGTTGTGACTTGATTTAAGAATAATTGTTACTATAAAAATGTTATGTGTAAATAAAAAACGGGTTTTACAATTTTCCGGTTTTATTTTATTCACATTTCTCTTCAGTTCATTTTTTTTCTCAACATATACATCGATTTACATAAAGGTACATAATAATATAAATACCTACCATCAGTGCTGTATAAATATTGTATACAATGTTGTGCTACTGCACTAGTTACTATATACATGGCGTCCCACGGGTTCGTCACACGGAGGGAAAGTATATTAAATATTTAAGATAGGATGTTTTACTAGAAGAAGACATCATTTTATTTTTAAAATAACTAGAACTACCTTCACATTTTTTTTAAATCGCCTGCTACAACTGGAAATCGATCTCGAGAAATTTGCAAAAAAAAACATATGGTGTATTTTATGATTTTAAATGAAAGGAAGATCATGAATTTTCAATTGTGTTCAGGATTTTTTTTTTCTTACTTTTCCGTGCTTCTAACTGCTAATGTTATCATTTCAAAATATTGATTAATTAATACCTGCTCTCTTAATAATACAGGATTTCCTTACTATAAGTACGTGAAAAAAATAATAAAGCGATATTATACAAACCTAGCACCGTGTCGTTTTTATTGTAGTTTATATGAAACTGAAATAAACACGACACTGTGCTAGGTTTGTAAGAGTATTGCTTTATTATTTGATGGTGTGTTCAATGCTAAAAAAAGACAAATTTCATGTATTTTCTATCATTTAAAATACTTAAAGAAAAAGACAAATTTCGTGTATTTTCTTTCATTTAAAATGCTGTTATTAAAGAAAAAATTATCCTCATGATCAACCCTTTCGACAGTTTTCCTAATAAACATGTGATTTTTCGTTTCACATTTCAAGAGTTTGATTCCCGGTATTGGCAGGCGATTTATTAAAAACTGTGAATGCATTTCTACTTATAATTAAAAATAAAATGATGTTTTCTTTTTCAGTAAAATATCCTATCTACAATATTTATATTATTTTATACTTTCGCTCCGTGTGACAAACCCGTGGGACACCCTGTAAACATGTAAATTCATCAAGGATGTTTGTAAAAGGAATTTTTTAATTTCAAATGATCTTAATGATTCGCAAAAACAGATGATGTTTCGGTGGTGATATTTGATGTAACCTCATGGTAGTATTTTACTTGGCTATCCGTACTTGCTGCTTGCATGCTTTATAATGGCGCGATTACATTTGGTCGCTAGCCCGAATACGAGTGCCAATGGAATTCGGGTAAACGACTCAGTGGAAATTAAAGGAGTCGAGTACGCCCGAGTTTTCGTTTTGGTTACCCAACACCGTATTCCAGTGTAAATATTGCTTTCGTGCACCCGAATGCAGGCTAACGACCAAGTGTAACTGAGCCATTAGTCAAGTATACACAAATAGCAATCACGAATAGCCAAGCGAAGTGTCAAATAAACAGTTTTCAAATAACACTTAATTATTTTCCTTAAAATAGAAGCAGTAAAATCTTGTCAGACATGTTAAGAGATAAGTTTTTTTAAACTTCTAAATGAGCCCAAATTATTTAACTTTCCACTGAATAAATTAATGATAATTAATTAGAAATAGATGAACTATCCATGAGATTACATTAATTAAATCAAGAAACTCACTTTTACTTTAAAATTTTCTATTATATGCAGTCACATCTGTGCTTCAGAATTATTACAATTTTTTGCATTTTATTCAATTACACATACAAAAATATTGGCAATTTAAACTCAAAGGGAAATGTCCGTCAATCCAATAGTACAGTGCAATCATTCTATTATTAACTAAATAAATTATGTACAAACAGTAGCATACAATAAAAATAAACTTTACTATCTAAACGACAAGATTCGAAATACTCTACAAATCTAACAATAGCAAACAATAAGTGTGCTAAATTCAGTCAATTAACAATAAAATACAAGAAATTAAGCACATTATTAAGTTCGACAAAAACGACACGTACAAATCTTAAACTAATAATAATATTATATAAATATCATTTTTAATTTTATTTCTCACGAGAATCCTATTTTGTTTATTAACATAGTTGGTTAGTTTTACAAAATATGTCTCTTTATATATTTGTATAACAAGGAAAGCTATTATTGAATTAGTTTTTATTTTATTTTCTGAAAATTAACTCTAATTTACTGTGGAAAGAAAATGCAAAATTTCTTGAACATCAATCAATGTATAATGCGATTCAACTAAGAATAGGACCGACTGGGCGCCCTATTGTGAAGTCATAGTTGTAAATTCAAACCAAATAGGTAGAGTGTGCAAAAAAAGTTTAAGATTAAATTAGAAAAAACATCAGATTTTTTTAAATAAAATTTATTTACTAAGATGGAAAGGAAAACCAACCAATTTTAAATAATATTTATTTATGAAGACTGTGTGAGAAAAAACATGAATCAGAATGTAGCTATTCAATTCCGCTCATCTCTGCATTACCGCCGGAGAAGCTATGAATAATCATGCACTATTACTTAGTTAGTAAAGACCCCAAATTAGTAAAGACTGATTTGGTGACTCGCAACGATGGCAAACGCAACCGGCAATGTAGACACACACAGCGACATGAAGGATGAAGCACCCGGACGAGGAGAGGTTAAAAAGAGACAGAAGCCCAAGATTTTCACTAAGCGCTCAAAAGGCTCAGAAAACGCGGCAGTCCCACTACTACCACCTCGAGACCCGAATGCGACAGGGCCCAAACCCACGCGTCTTTCCACTGTTGCCACTAAGCCACGGAATGAACCCATATACTCAGATATAGACATGATGGGATTCCCAGGCGTTGCACCCTACCGACGACAAAACGACTTCGCTGTTACAGCAGAGGGTTTCATACCTCTATGCGAAAAGGAGTACGATATTATATCGACAAATCAGCCTTATTTCGCTAAAGTCGTGTCAAAAGCGGCATGGGTATACTACTCAATTCCAGTATAATGTTGATCTCTTTGAAAAGATATCACTCATGCTGACAAAGGCAGAGGACAAGATCAAGATTGTAAACTATGCCAATGTTCCAGTCGAGTGGCACCATACTAGAAATTATATATTCGAGTATGGACGGGCAGACCGATGGAATGTGAAGGAGTATACGGCACCTTACACGAATAAGTCGGAATACAGACTTGCTTGGCTGAGAAGGCACGTTAAATGACGTGCACAGTAATTAGGGAGTCGCGCCCCGCACTTGTAATCTTCGGGGCAAGTTGAGCGAACATGTTTATGTTCTAATTAGTTGTAGATTTTTCTAGTTTTAGGTAAGTCCCTGGCATGTAGTTTGAATTTTTTTTTTTATATATTTTATTTGTAGGGGGAAAAAAAAATTACTAGGTCATATACGAACATGCATCCTTTATGTAGACAAAAGTTTTAAATCGAGTTTCTGAACGCAACTTAAGGTGACATTTGGTTGACGATTTAGGTTATCAACCATTCATAGCCAAAGCTCAATAAATGAAAAAAATATATCAACCAATATTTGTTATTGTTTGTTTACAAATGTTTGGTTTTATTCTAGAAAAAATGTCGCTTGAAAAGTACGGTTTGCAAAAAAAACTTGGAATCCTTTTTTAGCACTCAGAGTTTTTTTTGCAAACCGTACTTTTCAAGCGACATTTGACAGTTGGAGGTCATTGGCTTTCCTATTCTTATTTGAATCGCACTATAGGTCGTAAATTATAACATCAAAAGTTAATTGTAAGTCTAATCAGCAGATATTTGAAAGGGTATCTGTTCCATTTTTTATCCGCATATATAAAAAGAGACATACACATGCAATACAAATATAAAATTAATAGTCCGAATGTCAATTTAGAAACCAATCATACTAATTTATACAAAGAACATAATCTAAATAAAGTTACAACTAGATTAAGTCAAGACGCCATATTGGCATTCGGTAAGTCATTTTCTATTTTCGAAAGTACTGAAAAAAAACACAAAATGGCAGCATCCTCGCTCGGAATGAAAAGAACTACAACATTTGGCTTATAACGTCACAATATGGGAGTAACTTTTTTACCCTTTATCTATCCTTTTCTGTCTCATACAAACCGTTATCTATAGAGCAGGAGAGGTTTTAAATTTCGTCGGTTAATACTATCTATCTCACTCTTTATAACGAAGCTTTTATGAGCTGGAAAGAGATACATAATTTGGTCGCACGTAAATATTGTTACTCCACCCAAATCTATTGCATTGGAACACTTGTTGTATGTAGTTAACATTTCAAAATTTTAAAAGCACCATGGTTTTGTGTATTAATAAAAACATCAGTAAGATATTCACTGGTCAAGATAATAACAGGATTATGAGTAACGAAATTGCTAACAAAAGGTTAGCTAAGTACCTATTTATTTTACTGGTTTCAAGCCAGTGGCGTAGCATAGGTCACTAGCACCCGGTGCGGATTCCAAATTTGCCGCCCTCTTATTTTTGCAATCCATTATAAAAAAATTGAGGCATGGTAAAAAGAGTACTTTTATTGAATAACACTAACCTAAGAGTGAAATTAACATTTTTTGACAGAAAACGTAATACAATAATGGAGAAATCGCCTACTTCACGAACGCTCTTTCGCGCACGAGTATCATTACTGATTACAACCTCAACTCATCCGCATCATCCATGCATAGAACCTGCATAGGTACCTGGGTATTTGGTAACAACAACAAAAAAATGACGAAAAAAAACTGAAAGAAATTAACTTTTTTTTATATTTTAATTTTTTTTCTCTATCTGCCACCTCCGCAGCGCCGCCCCCGGCAAAGTGCCGCCCGGTGCGGACCGCACCCCCCGCCCCCCCCCCCATGCTACGCCACTGTTTCAAGCCGACTTACGCTGGTATTATTTATTCTCAGTACAAATTGTTTTACGGCATAAATGATTCAAGAACTTTGACAGATCCTACGCGCGCTTTAGGACTCGGGCGCGAGCGTGCGTACAGACGCTACTGAAGTTCGACCGAAGTGAACCACGATCGAGCTTTGTGACGTCACACGCTCCGGCCGCCGGTAAATTGGCTACCATAAAATTAGTCATAAAATCGTAACGAATGAACCGATTTCGATGATTTTAAAAGTATATTAATTAAAAAGCTTATTAGATCATTATACTGTTGATTTTGAGTTGATTTGCTGACCTAGTAATGATCTTCATTCTACTTTGATCTTGTGTTACACGGTGTGTGTTGTGTTCTTTGTGATATTCTCACATATTCAAAAATATGTGAGAATATCACAAACGATTTCCCTTAAACATGGGTGTAAGAGCCGTCTAAAAAGAATTTCTAATAAATAATGTATGGTGACATTAAAAAACAGACTAATAAAAACTCAGCATCATCTGACATTATGGTTATTCATGGCTAAATTCGTAAAAGGTATACATTTTTCATGCAATAAATCCATTGGATGATAAATATAAATTGAAAGCGTATTATCAATATAAGAATAATATAATAATTAAGTATAGTCCAGTCAACAAGTTCAAAAACGTGAAAAATAGAGATAAAGCTCCTAAAAATATGAGCAATAGCTCATTGGATTCGTAACGACCTCTAGAAAAATGAGTTTTGAGGATTTTACTGCACGTAAAAAATTGCAATTGTTATTAACAAAATAAGATGAAAAAAAAGAGGTATTTACGTTTTTGTTAATAACTCATAAACTATTAATATTTACGATATTTGGAAAAAAGGTCCTTAAAGAGGAGGAAATTTACGAAATAAAAGTCCCAGCTCCCGGAACTCTACCTCTATTATTTATAATTTTAATTTAACGCTGAAAATAGGGCTCCGCGCAGCCATTACGGCATGGGCGCACTGCCGTTAAAGACAGTTTCTTACATAAAATTATTTTTTTATAGTAACAAATATGAATTTAAAAATTTAAATAAATTATGGTGTCATCCAGATACTTGAAAGAATATATTCCCCTTGGAAAAATTTATTTAAATTAATTTTTCAAAAAGTTATGCAATTGTTAATTAACGAATTTTTTTCCTATCTCCGTTTTCATAAATGACGACATAAAAATTTAAATAATAAACCTATAAATTTTTTGCTCTGTGGAGCTCTTCTTATATATATACTTAACAAGATCCCGCGATAAAAGTTTATTAAAGTTAATTATTTTGTTTATAACAATTTTTTAAAGTTAACAAAAAATGAAAAGTCTAAGAAATGTTATTAAAAAAATTTTTTTAAACAAATGTTATATTATTGCTGCTTTCTTATCCAACAATGGCATTAGGTAACATCGGAAAAAAAATTTTTACATCATTTGTTAAGAAATTGTTTATAAACAAATAGACAAGTTTAATATTTAAAGAAATTGTTTTTTTACCATTATGTTGTCTTGGCAAAATAAGGATTTTAAAAAAAAAAAATTTTCTTAAATAAATTTTTTTATTGTTTATAATCGTTTTTTTTATATTTCGATTGTTTAAATAATTAGTTAAGGAATGATTTTCACTTTAAAAATCATAATTGGCATTTCTTCATAGGTAAATAGAAAAAAAAATTTTTTTTATCAATAATTTCATTGTTTGTTAACTTAACAATTTGTTATAAACAAATTCTAACTTCCGTTATATTTTTTTTCTAGAGCTAAAAAAAATAGCAAAAACAGCCATATATATCAAAATACTAAAAAAAATTTTTTTCTATTTTTTATAACGCTTTTAAATATTACACGATACCAAAGTTGCACCGGACACTTGATTTGTCAAGTAAAAAATTAATATAACTTATAAACTATTCGAGATACGACAATGGACATTCAGGTCGTTTTTATAAAGCATTAATTAATCTTCAAAATAAGCTAAAAACCAAGTTTGTAACTATTGTTTATCAGCTAATACATGCATTTGTTTATAACATTTTGAGAATTCTTTAACTTTTTCGTATCTCTTATGATTTACAACTTAATAAATAATTAAAATACAGCTATAAACCTTAAAACAATTTTGTTTAGCGATACATTATCTCCCAAATTATTACCTCGATGTTAAATTGAACACGAGTTAAATAAATATTAATTAAGTCACGTATATTGTTTAAACAATTAGAGATGGAGGTACGATTAATTGATAATTTGGGAGATAATGTATCGCTAAACAAAATTGTTTTAAGGTTTATAGCTGTATTTTAATTATTTATTAAGTTGTAAGTCATAAGAGATACGAAAAAGTTAAAGAAATCTCAAATTTTTATAAACAAATGCATGTATTAGCTGATAAACAATAGTTACAAACTTGGTTTTTAGCTTATTTTGAAGATTAATTAATGCTTTATGAAAACGACCTGATGTCCATTATCGTATCTCGAATAGTTTATAAGTTATATTAATTTTTTACTTGACTAATCAAGTGTCCGGTGCAACTTTGGTATCGTGTAATATTTAAAAGCGTTATAAAAAATAGAAAAAAATTTTTTTTAGTATTTTGATATATATGGCTGTTTTTGCTATTTTTTTTAGCTCTAGAAAAAAAATATAACGGTAGTTAGAATTTGTTTATAACAAATTGTTAAGTTAACAAACAATGAAATTATTGATAAAAAAATTTTTTTTTTCTATTTACCTATGAAGAAATGCCAATTATGATTTTTAAAGAGAAAATCATTCCTTAACTAATTATTTAAACAATCGAAATATAAAAAAAACGATTATAAACAATAAAAAAATTTATTTAAGAAAATTTTTTTTTTTAAAAATCCTTATTTTGCCAAGACAACATAATGGTAAAAAAACAATTTCTTTAAATATTAAACTTGTCTATTTGTTTATAAACAATTTCTTAACAAATGATGTAAAAATTTTTTTTCCGATGTTACCTAATGCCATTGTTGGATAAGAAAGCAGCAATAATATAACATTTGTTTAAAAAATTTTTTTTAATAACATTTCTTAGACTTTTCATTTTTTGTTAACTTTAAAAAATTGTTATAAACAAAATAATTAACTTTAATAAACTTTTATCGCGGGATCTTGTTAAGTATATATATAAGAAGAGCTTCACAGAGCCAAAAATTTATAGGTTTATTATTTAAATTTTTATGTCGTCATTTATGAAAACGGAGATAGGAAAAAAATTCGTTAATTAACAATTGCATAACTTTTTGAAAAATTAATTTAAAAAAAATTTTCCAAGGGGAATATATTCTTTCAAGTATCTGGATGACACCATAATTTATTTAAATTTTTAAATTCATATTTGTTACTATAAAAAAATAATTTTATGTAAGAAACTGTCTTTAACGGCAGTGCGCCCATGCCGTAATGGCTGCGCGGAGCCCTATTTTCAGCGTTAAATTAAAATTATAAATAATAGAGGTAGAGTTCCGGGAGCTGGGACTTTTATTTCGTAAATTTCCTCCTCTTTAAGGACCTTTTTTCCAAATATCGTAAATATTAATAGTTTATGAGTTATTAACAAAAACGTAAATACCTCTTTTTTTTCATCTTATTTTGTTAATAACAATTGCAATTTTTTACGTGCAGTAAAATCCTCAAAACTCATTTTTCTAGAGGTCGTTACGAATCCAATGAGCTATTGCTCATATTTTTAGGAGCTTTATCTCTATTTTTCACGTTTTTGAACTTGTTGACTGGACTAGTAGGTATATTCGTTTAAACAATTGTAATACTTACAATAGGTAAGTTGCTATGTATGGTAAGGCTAATGCATTATGCTGTTGGAAGAGTTATTAATAAATAAATTTCAATTAATCTACAAACTATGTATATTTATTTATTTAAAAGGAACAAAAAATTCATTTGATTTCTTTGGTTCGGTCTTCTGTTAATATTAAATTGACATAATATATAAATTTTAATAACAAAATATTAAGTTTAACTAAAACTTGATTTAAGAAAAATGACAATGTCAATTTGACAATATTGTGTGAGCAAAATCTTGTATCAATTAATCTGAGATTTAGCAGATTTACCTATAAGTATTACTTCTTTTTTTATTGTAGCTTAAAAACATACGTTGTTTAAATGCGTCATGCTCGTGAACAAATGCAAAACAAGCTTTGGCTTGTTCAACTTTGTGAATTGTGTTATACACAGGTTTAGTAGGTAGATGTAAGTGACCTATCAACTAAACTTAATCGTACGTTAGATTCGACTAGATATTTTTTCTTTACAACCAAAGCCACGATTTCCTTTTAATTTCACTTCGATTTAAAATAAATTTTGAATTTAAAAACACATGTAAATTGTTTACATTAAAAATAAGTATTACGCATTGCATCACTGATAAAAATAATTTCATAATATACACAAATAAATACCACATAATCACATAAACAATCAAAATATGTTTGGTAGAGTCTGTGCGGAAAGAGAATGGGCGTGGCGAAAAACGGAACTAACATTAAGATTTTTATTTGGCAATCAAACCCAGCAATCTGTAAAACGTCAAAGTTTTGTATTGATACGGATTTGTTTGTTGTTGTGATTTCTTGCGGTTTTTTGTATTTAATCATGTCTAAAAGGGGTAAAACCTTACAAATACGGTAGAAAAGCATTACAGCGCCCTCCAATCTAAATTCCATTCTCTTTCCGCACAGACTCTAATAGACTACAAAAAAGACATATCTTTCATGCATAGCAACATACCTTTGAATATTCAATCCGAAATTGCAATTAAATGATCGATCTCCATATTAAACACTATTGTTTAATAATTAAGATTTATTTTGAAATGCACAACATTCCTAATGTGTTTTTCATTTATTTATTTGCAGTTTCCGATTGTTGTAAATTCTAATAAATAAATAGTAGATTTAGGAATACAAACATTAAGGTGCTAGCTTAAGAAGACATCTTGTACACGCATTCCTACAGACATTACACTAGGAGATCATTACTATGATGAATGCGTTTTATTATGATAAATGCTTTATATACAGCGAGAGATGACTCTTTATGCTTTGAAGACACTTTTAAATAATATCTTTAATACAATATTTAGGTAACCATAAAGGTTTAGGCGTAGATTGCTGGGATTATCATAGAGTATAAAATATATAAACTTAGGTATTTTATCATCACTCTTTATATTTTTAACGCATAGTAACTAATTATTTAGAATGAGATAAATGTTGTGAATGTGTTAAACCTATTAATTAGGTTTATACCACATGTCTCACTTGAGAAATAAATCGTTTTTGTGCAATAGAAAGAGTGGAGCGACAAAAATATTTATGAAAACACTCTTATTAAAGTCTCTAATAGGAAGACCATTTTTAACTGTTAATAAGCTGCGCAAACGCAGTTTTTGTTAATCAGTATGACTTTATTGAGTCGTGTAGTTCTATTTAAACGCAGCCTGCATCTTTCGATGCAGTTAATTTAATTTAGCAGTATTATTATTTAACAGTATTAAAACTGCAATATTGCAGTTAGGGTACAGGCCATTTACAGCTCTCTTGATCGACTTTAATAAACCCAATATTGCAGTTAGGGTACAGGTCATTTACAGCTCTCTTGATAGACTAATAAACCCAATATTGCAGTTAGGGTACAGGTCATATACAGTTCTCTTGATCGACTTTAATAGACCCAATATTGCAGTTAGAGTGCAGGTCATTTACAGCTCTCTTGATCGACTTGATTAAACCCAATATTTCAGTTAGGGTACAAGTCATTTACAGTTCTCTTTAAATACTTTAATAAACCCAACAACAACAAAAAAGGGCAAAGATTAAATAATGAGTTAGTGAGAATTATACGTTTATTTTACACAGCGGTAATGCTGTCTGCTTTTCATCTTTTTCCGTGAAATTAATAAAAATAAATATTTTGTATTAAACTGGTAACACTGTAGATAAACGATTCAAAAAAGAGTTTTTGGCGGGATTTCATCGAGTGCGGTTGGCGTCTTATTTTAATTATTCTTAAATTCGTTCATAGTGGATATTGTGAAATAAAATTGGTGTGATTTTGTGTTACAACCGTCTGCGCAACTGAAGAATTAGTGGAATCTTTAAAATATACGCTATTCCGGTCAAGTGGAAGTGAGAATTTTATTGTAGTGTTGACTACCTCACAGAAGCTTATCGGAACAGCCAACTCGATACATTTCGTGCCAAACACTCCAAGTAACATTAGAATGAGTCACACCAACATTCTAATGTAAAAAAAGAAGAATAAAATAACTTAAGACTTGGCTGTTTAGGCATTGTTACCTTTGCCTTCCCTGAAAAGGGAGAATATTAAATAAAAAAAAAAGATTCAAAATACGGATAATGTCGAAAGTGACTTAAGTCGCATTTGACTCCTCTCTCCAGGTTCGACACCATTCAGTGATAATTATTTTTTAACCGACTTCTAAAAAGAGGAATTTCTCAATTCGATCGGTAGGTACGCTATTTTTTAGATTTAAGACAAGTGATTGCCTGTAAGAATGCGTGCTTATTGATAGTATGGTTAGAGTCGCGGTCACTCTTCGTCGGAGGGTTCCGTGCCGAAATATCTGTCGCCGAAGTTGCCTATACCCGGTAATACGTAGAATTTCTCGTTTATCTCCGGGTCTAGGGCTGAGGTCACTATTTTCACCTGAATATTGAAGTTGGTTAGTTGTTATTTTTTTATTAAGGTAAGAATTTAACCGCTATGTAAAACTATAATTGCTATTTCGTCTTTCAAATGTTTATCACATGTGACTTCAGAAGTATCTCTGAAGTCATTTTTCAACTTGACGACTCTGTATATATCAATATTGCTGAGTTTCTTGCCGGTTCTTCTCAGTACAAGGTCTCCCGCCGTAGTTTTGCGAACCGATGGCGTAGCTTCTTGACCTTCACAAGTGCTTGTAACAGCCTAGACTGAATAAATGACTTTTCATTTCATTTCGTTTCATGTGAATGTATTCATTTCACATTGCGGGTTACGTACAATGCGAAGAGATGGCGCTGCGTTGCAGCTTAAGAACACTAGGGAAAATTCGACACGGCCATCAGGGCCGCGATAGCATAATGGTCGGTGCCTTCGCCCGGATAGCGAAGGGTGCGGGTTCAAGTCCCGTCTGCTGCCTGTACCGCGTGGATTTTTTTCTGTGCGTATCGAGGAGCTCGATGGCATATGTGGTTAGCGCGTTCGGCTGCTATCGTTAAAGTTCAGCAACTTTCGCCGTGGTCGGTCATTGGATGGGTGACCAAAAATCCTCTATCTCGAGTTCCTCCGTGCTTCGGAAGGCACGTTAAGCCGTTAGTCCCGGCTGCATATGCAGTCGTTAGCACCCGCCAATCCGCACTGGGCCCGGTGGGGCATGGTCCATTCTCCCTATTCCATCCACAGGGAAAGCCTGTGCCCCAGCACTGGGGACATAAATAGGCTGATGATGATGATTTCTTAAACTAGTTCTTACCTTAGGGAAGGCGTATGCTATAGAATGCACGCCGATCTCTGCCATAAGCAGTGACACGAGGCTAATATTGTGTTCTGGCACATCGTGGTCCAGTAATACCCTGATGGCCATCATGGCGGCGGCGCCCGTCGCTACCGTAGCGTCCATTAAGATCACGCGGTAGTCCTTTATGTCTTTAGGTAGTCTGAGGTAGTAGAGCTGGAGAAAAATAATTTAGTAACCAGCAGACCCTTAGACTTTGTATTTAAGAGCAATATTAAATACCCTAGATACACCAACACGAACAAAATCGTGCCCGAAACCTGTCCAAAAGGTACATGAGTCGATCCACGGAGCTTCGTAAGATGATCGCGTAGTCAAAAACAATATAAGGCATTATTTAAACAGTGAAAGTAAAGGTCTTAATTGAAACGCCTGCGTCAAAGAGTTATGACAGTTCGATATGCAAGCTCGTAAAATGTTACGACTTATTGCTATATGCGAAAGAATATAGACCTTATTTCTTTGACTCTACGCGCAATTTTGAATGCGCTGTTAGCAATATAGCAGGTACGGACCGCGAGGAAAAGAGGCGGCTATATAACCGATCATTCAATTGAATATCACAAATATTGTGTATTAAATCAGTTTATAGTAAGTATTCGAACAAAACTAGCTAGAAAAAAGCGTTAAATTAACAAACATTGATTAGATAGCTGTCGAAAAAACGACACTTCGCATTTTATAATTATTTTTTTTGCATTTCTTCACGGAGCTCTGCGGCATGTTGACTTTTTAACGGCGTTTGAATGTGAATCAAGAAGTGCTTGAGTGGTGTTCAAGCACCTAGTGTGCACATGCACACTTTACATCCTATATGTATGAGCAGACCCAATATTTATTTCCCTGCGGCCCGGCAGTTTGTTCAGTAAGATGTTATGCTATTATCGACCTTATTTCGTCAAACTTTAAGACACACTTCAAACTCGTCAGTCTGTATTCAGTCAGATCTTATGATATTATTGACATTATTCCTTAATCATTAAAGACACATCTTCGACTCGTCAGTCTGTATTCAGTCAGATGTAATGCTATTATCGACCTTATTTCGTCAAACTTTAAGACACACTTCAAACTCGTCAGTCTGTATTCAGTCAGATCTTATGTATGATATTATTGACATTATTCTTTAATCATTAAAGACACACCTCAGACTCGTCAGTCTGTATTCAGTCAGATGTTATGCTATTATCGACCTTATTCCTCAACATTTAAGACTCACCTCAGGCTCGTCGGTCTGTTGGTTTGTCTGTATAAGTATTTTCCCGATGCGTATGTCTTTGCAAACATCGCAAACTGCCTGCTCCATCGTCTCCCCAGCGCGTAGTATTGATACGCCGCAGATCTTTTCCACGTCACATTTACGACCTTAACGTGAAGGGATGAGAGGTTAATTTACCTTGCCACAGTTATCTTTAAGGGAAAATTAGTGAGGGGCGGATGAGATACGATTGAATTTAAAACTGCAAAAGCGTTAAAAATATGTTTTCAATGGTTTTTGCGATGTTAGATATTTTACGCATAATCTTAAATATGACTCGCATGATTAAACAATCAAATCAATAGCGTCGAAAGACAGAACGACAAAGACAGAAGACAGGGTATGCAAATGGGACAGACACATTGTCCCGTTTGCAGAAGAGTATTCCTGTGTCAGGAATATTATGAGGAAAGTATTATTGGCATGCGTGTTCGTTTTCGATTAGTTTGTTTATTGGCGCGAATAGATTTTTTCATCATTGTAACATTTCTCAATAAAAAATCTTTATATTTTAAATAAAACTACAAGTAAAAAAAAATGAATTTGTGCACGCAAAAAAAAAAATTCAAAAGTTGATAATATATCGCCGATAATTCATCCAAATGAAATAAGACTAGACAAAATTTTACTACAAATAATCGCTTTGGTATCAGAAATTTTCTTGACACATAACGATCAATAAGATGTATGGCTAAAATAACACTATGATAGAAATAAGTATAAAGCGTGTTTATTCTCTTTCTCTCCAGTTGTTTACACCTATCCGTCCTTTAAAATTCAAAAATCGTCGCACTAAAATCTGTCGCTCAAATCGTGACACGGCCTCGAAAAGTTACCCTCATCGCGCGCAAAGAACTTTCAGTTGTGTGCAAAGAGTTTATTTCTTTATAAACATACAGTTAACTTATAATGAGATTTACATTCAAATATTACTGTGTGACCGCTTCTGCAGTATCGGTTTAGTATACAAACAATTACATTATTGTGACCTATTTTGTACAGCTTTGTGATAACAATATTCTCAGAAATTCCCTCTTATAAAATTTTAAAGTTAAGTGTGATATACTCTTTTAATTTACTTTTAAATGTATTTTTATAATCGCAATTTTTCATTTCATCTGGTAGCTCGTTAAACAGTTGTACTCCCTCAGATAATATTGTTTTCCTCCCATAACTAGTCCGTGTATTAAATAACTTGTAATTTGTTGGTGTTTCTTAAGGAATGTTTAAATTCTCTTTTTTTTTAATAATATGTATGGACTGATTGGTTCCAGTATGAATATTTTTTACTAAAATACAGGTGTTATATATGTATAGTTGTTTAAGATTAAATAGTTTAGTATTTTCGTAAATTAATTTAGTGGGGGATAAGTAGTGATAGCGAAATAACACAAAAATAGCGAAATAACAGCTCCCGCAAACCCTACGAGCCCCCAGCAGTGGCTGCCCACTGAGGACCCCGTAACTCTTACGGGCGCTTTACGGCATAATATCCGCTAAAAACCCTGCGAATACCCTCTAAGCTGCTTAGTGCGAAACCGCGGGATCTCCGTTTAGGGATTCTTCCGCGTAATCGTGACGTGGCCTCGAAAAGTTACCCTCATCGCGCGCAATGAAGTATCACTTCAATAACACTACCCCTACCTGTGTACGTGAATCCTTGCGGTGTGTCGACTTTCTGTTCTGAGTAGGGCTGCAGTGACAGAGCGAATTCTATGACCAGTCTCATTAAACGCTTCGAGTAGAATATGAACTCGTCACGGGCCGTGTCCTTGTTGCGAATGAACGTGTGGAGACCTTGCACCTGTTTATGAACGATTATTTTAAAGAAAATATAACTAGAAAAAATTCCACGCGGACCAGGCAGCAGACGGGACTCGAACCCGCACCCTTCGCAATCCGGGCGAATGCACTGACCAATTATGCTACCGCATAATTATATATTAGCATAATTGGTCAGTGCATTCGCCCGGATTGCGAAGGGTGCGGGTTCGAGTCCCGTCTGCTGCCTGGTCCGCGTGGATTTTTTTCTAGTTATATTTTCTTTAGATTTAAACATCAAGCAGTTACATGCTTTAAAAATAATAAAAATTATAACGATTATTTTATTTATTTAGACAACTAACAACAACATACACCTTCATCATCAGCATATGAAGGTCCCTGCTCGGACAAAGACCTTCACTATGGATGGAATAGGGAGATTGGGCCATGACCCACCACGCGGGTTCAGTGCGGATTGGCGGATGCTAAAGACTGCAGATGCTGCCAGGAGCAACGGCTTAACGTGCCTTCCGTAGCACGGAGGAGCTCGAGATAGTAAATTTTTTGGTCACCCATCCAATGACGGACCACTGCGAAAGTTGCTTAATTTCAACGATCGCAGCCGAACGCGCTAACCACCTGCGCCATCGAGCTCCTCTTAGACCTTATCTACTTCGCATTAAAGGTGACTTTCAATGTTTAAAAAATGCCGTATATCGTTTTTGACTATGTGATCATCATCGGAACTCCGTGGATCGTTTAATGTACCTTTTGGACAGGTTTCGGTCACGATTTTGTTCCTGTTATTGCATTTAGGGTATTAAATATCTTTGTTCGTAACTCTTAAAAACATGATAGGTCGTATCGCTTCTCAAACTCAAATCATTTATTGCAACCATAATGTGTACAGTGGTTGGTAGGTACTTATATAAATACTAGCTGACCCAGCGAACTTCGTACCGCCATAAAAAAATAGGGGTTGGTGGAAGGGTGAAAATTTAGGGTTGTTTGTATTTGTGTATAATGTATCATAAAAAAAATAAAAAAATAAATTATCTAAAATTAAAAAAAAAAAATTAGGTGTGGACCTTAACATTTAGGGGGATGAAAAATAGATTACATCCGATTCTCAGACTTACTGAATATGCATTTAAAATTTCACGAAAATCGGTCGAGCCGTTTCGGAGGAGTTTAACCACAAACACCGCGACACGAGAATTTTATATATTAGATGAGCAATAAGGATCCCGTCCGGCACGCAATTGGTTATTAAAGAGGATGCGCTTCCCAAATGAACAACACTAACACTAAAATTAGAAATGGAAGATAGAGATTGTTTCATATGTTAATTTTTGATTGTAATAATTGGATTTTTATTTAGATTACACTATCTGATTTAATTATAAATAATAATAATTTTATAAAATTAAAAATTATAATAATAAAAAAACAAATATTAATCTCTTATCTATTAGACAAGTCTGTCCGTCCGTCTGTCTGTGGTGCTGTTTCAGCGGCTAAACCGTAAGAGATAGATACAGAGAATATTTAAGTTATAAGTTAAGAATAGTCTGATAAGACTACAAACCGGATTTGAGTAACGTAGCACTTCCGGTTTTCGAGAAATCACGAATTTCAAACGAAACCACACAAAATCTCTAAAGTTCTCAATTAATTAAATACATTTTTTTTTTAAAATCAGGTTTTGGTGAACATTTGGTTCACTGGTTTGCTAGTTATTTTATATTTCTACTATACGCCAGTGTGAGTTGAGTCTTTGGGTACGGAAACTCAGAAACATACTAACCTGTGGCGTATCTTTGAGTACGAACAGGGAGTCGGGTACAGGTTGTCCCACGTGGGCCACTGCTAGTTTCTCGCGAACTTTGAAACCACGCTGTAACAATAATCATAAAAAAAATTAAAGAAACGAGCGAGCCTTACGCGACTATTTCGCGTATGATGTGTAACATTTGCGATCACCTTATATTAGTAAAAAAAGAAATAAAATCTATTACAAAAGGAATAAGCCATTTGAACATTATGTTCTAAAATCAAATCAAATAGCGTGCGCTTTTTTCCACTTCCTGTTACACACTTCCGTCCCATTTTACGAAATCACTCCCACAAATTGCAAGAAAGCGAGAGGAAAGATGTTACACATCAAAACCTATTATTGTATTCGGTGTACAATGAGGGGTACCGTTTTTTGTCTCACCAGATGGCGCCATTGTTGAGTGAGGTCCTGGAGTGTAGTTTTTAAAGTTTTTTAACACGGGCGTGAAATCAAAGTTTACATTCGAATCATATTTTAATACAAAAGAACCGTATCCAGTGGCGGACTAACAGGGGGGGGCGGAAGGGGCGGCCCGCCCCGGGCCTCCAATCTTGGGGGCCCCCCAAATGCCTCTGCGTTCCCCAGATCAAATCCTAAACAAGACTTTAAAAATGTGCTTAGGTACTAAGCATAATCTACTATATAAAAATAAGTCGGGTTTTTCTTCCTGACGCTATAACTCCAGAACGCACGAACCGATTTCCACGGTTTTGCATTCGTTGGAAAGGTCTCGGGCTCCGAGAGGTTTATAGCAAAGAAAATTCAGGAAAAAATAAAAAAAAAAACTTCTTTTAATCACCAAACGAAATGTTACATGAAACGAAGCCATCTGGTGGCGAAACGGAGTTCGCGGGGTTTGCTAGTCTACTATATAAAAATAAGTCGGGTTTTTCTTCCTGACGCTATAACTCCAGAACGCACGAACCGATTTCCACGGTTTTGCTTTCGTTGGAAAAGTCTCGGGCTTCGTGAGGTTTATAGCAAAGAAAGTTCAGGAAAAATTAAAAAAAAAAACTTCTTTTAATCACCAAACGAAATGTTATATAAAACGAAGCCATCTGGTGGCGAAACGGAGTTCGCCGGGTTTGCTAGTAATACATAATTTTTTACGCGGTACTAATATTTAACTTTGCCGAATGGAAAAGTGAAGGTAAAAAGAACGATGCCGGGTGAATCAGCTCGTGATGCTTGATTATCAATTCAAGAAGAAATACGTCGGTCAATGTATGAATGAATAGACCGCTTTATACAAGAATTTTCGAATTGAGCTATTAAACAAATCATAAATATTTTCCAAATTATTGAAACAAAGTTTGTGCTAGAAGCTTCAGATGACGTTCTGGCTGTAGCAGTTGACAATCTGATACAAAGTTATGGTGAATTTGACAAGACTGGTTCTAACGAAATAAACATAAGAATCTACATTTTTGAAGTTATACTTCTTTAGGCGCGTTATGAAAAAATGATGAGAGTGAAATTTTAAGATGCGCGCGCATCACTGTAACACAAAAAATTAACAGCATGCTGTTAATTTTTTGTTGTTTGTCTGTTTGTCTGTTTTGTGGGTGCTAACGACTGCATTGTGAAGGCCTATCAAAAGTATTTATTAATCTGGATCAACGGAACCAAAGCGCGATTCAGGAGACTACAGCGCCATCTCTTGACCATTGGTGTAGTAGAACCAAAAACCACATCTTTATTTTTTGTAATAAAGTAACAAAAAGTATTTATTAATCTGGAACAACGGAACCAAAGCGCGATTCAGGAGACTACAGCGCCATCTCTTGACCATTGGTGTAGTAGAACCAAAAACCACATCTTTATTTTTTGTAACAAAGTAACAGTTATAGGTATTCATATTTATAATATTTATCCACATATTTCTAGTTTGTATATTCGGAATACGTGTTTGAGTTTCATACAAGTGCAAATCACATATGTTCTAATAAATTATATTCAGTAGCGATTTTAATTGAATATTTTGATTATTTATTTATTTTTTCAAATTAAAGCTGAACTTTATTGACTGTGTCCTTTTCCAGACTTTTTATTAATTTATTGTTATTAATTATTTGCATGCAATTAAAAACTAATTTTAAACGATGCCAAAGAAGGATAACTTCTCACGCGCCTACATAAGTACACGCACCCATTTTTTTTAAAGCTGGGGGCCTCATTCAGCTTTGCCGCCCCGGACCTCTGATGGGCTTAGTCCGCCACTGACCGTATCGTAAAAGTAATCGGCCATGCCACAGTGTTGCGCAGTTCCGTTTTGTTCGGAAAAAAGGACGACATAATAATTTTACTTAGCTCCGCTTTCAAATACCTGACATTCATTGACACGTAACTCATATTTGCCATAATGAGGGCTACCGTTTTCTGTCTCACCAGATGGCGCCACTGTTGAGTGAGGTCCTATATTGTAACTTTTAAAGTACGTACATGAAATCAAAGGTTACATTTAGATCGTATTTTAACACAAAAGAACCATATCATACCATACCATATTATAAACAATAGAATAGACTCGGCCCCTTTATTAGAACTAGTTAAATTTAAAATACCACGAACCTCCTCACGTTCTAAATCTATATTTTATATTTCACCTTCTTATACTAGTTATGCTGGAAATACGTTCATGCGGCGGGCTTGTAGGTACTACAATGGTTTTTTGGGAGATGTTGATGTGTTTTTCCTATCTTTGAATATGTATAAAAAATTGGTGGGCGAACATGTAATGCGATGAGCGAAGGGTCGGAGTATTGGTCTGCTGAGTCAGAGACCAGCACCTGTGTTGGTGATTGATACTGCAGATTGGAGGTTTGTCCCTTCGTTTGTTGCATTATACCATTTGGCTCAAAAGTTGTACTGAATTTCTTTTCTAAATTATGGTGTTATTCCACTTCTATTAAGTTAATTATTATATAAGTTGGGTCATATGTTATGGAACTGTTAGGTCAGTTTGTTACGATGAAATTGTTCATATTATATTATGTATGACTGTTTGTTCCTTATTAAATAAATAAAAATAAATAAAAATATCCTAAACATAATAGGCCATGCCACAGTGACGCCCAGTTCCGTTTTATTCGGAAAAAATGGGAACATAATCATTTTTCTAAGCTCAAATTTTTAATAACTGACATTCATTGCCACATAACTCATATTTGCCATAATTAAGCCGAATTGTTACCAATTATTCACAACATAATTTTAATAAGAAATAAACCCGCGTAGTCAACCAACAAGCAATAACATTTGACATTTCGGAGACCTCACGCTACACTAGCGCCTCTAGCGGCGGATTCATACGCGATAGCCCTCATTAATCTGAGTTATTACCAAATATTCATTCATATTCCTCACCAACTGCAGCTGCTTGTGCACGTGTTGCACGATGAGTTGTATGGCGACCTTGTTCTCCCCCCCGCGGGGGACGATGATGTCGGCGTGCGCCATACACGGCGCTATGTAGTTCTGGTACGCGGGCTTTACGTACGACATGTACTGTTTCAGGACCCCCTCTAGGTCCCGCCCGCGTTGGACTATGTCCCTGTATGTGTAGAAAACATCATCATCATCAAAATGAGCTTATTAATGACCCCACTGCTGGGGCACAATTTTTTATCTTTTCTTTAATAGGGGAGATGACGGGGTACAGTAAACGAAATTCTATTTAGTCCGTCAGTCCGTCCGTCAGATCATCTAGATCAAAAAATAATGGACACGTATTTTTTCTTTGAGCAATCAACCAAAAAATTACAAAGCTATAGCGCGTCAAAGTTTGGGAGTAGGGGCTCGTGACGTCACTTTTGAATGAAAATTGTACTTGTTTAATTGTAAAACGTGACGTCACGCAAATTTTCAAATCAATATAGCTCTGCAATGTTTATATAATGTGAAAAAAGAAAAAATACATGTCCAATACGTTTGATAATCTACCTGATAAATGAAGAAAAAAAATTAGTCATCATCCCTATTATGGAGTCTTACTATGAGTCTTTTAGTCAATGTAACAGTATAATAGGTTATACGCTGGCCCGTTTCATGGACTGTTTAATTTTCTTTCATCATCATCAAGCTGTTCATGTCCCCACTGCTGGGGCCTTCCCTATGGATGGAAAAGGAAGATTGGGCCGTGACCCACCACACGGGCCCAGTGCGGATAGACTGCAGATGCAGCCGGAACCAACGGCGTTAAGCCGTGCCTTCCGAAGCACGGAGGAACTCGGGATAGAAGATTTTTGGCCACCCATCCAATGACCGACCACTGCGAAAGTTGCTTAACTTCAACGATCGCAGCCGAGCGCGCTAACCACCCGCACCATCGAGCTCCTCAGTAGGAAACATATTTATTTATTTAGTTTTTGAAGAGATTATTGTGGATTTAATTGTACAATAAAATATAAATACAATGTTTAGACCAATTACAGAAACTTATTATGTACACATTAGATGTAACCGGCGTTACTGTATACCGATACTAAATTTATTATTAAAACAGTATAAAAAGAATATATTTTTTAAGAATATGTCACATGATAACATTATGAACTGTGGGTGTCTTTACATAGAACAGTGTAGTCTAATATAGAATAACATAGACACACCGAATCTCACGGTAATTTAAAATGACACCTACTACAAGGGAATTAAAGTATACAATCATCTGTTTTTTTCCTTAAAAACCCTCCAGGGTAAAAAGTTTACTCTACTAAAGATTTTTTAACGATGACATTTTATACAATTAATGAATACTTTAGTGAAAAGATTTAAATGTTTCGACATTGGTATTATTTTTTGGACATTTGAATTAATTGTTTTACAATATGTTATAGACAAGATTGAAAATTTGTTATTTTGGGAGGTTTTATAATTACGACTGTAGATCACTACCTACCTATTACTAGTGTTTAAGAATTATTGCAATACCCTAACTGCTTTGGGGCCGTTCAAGTATTACGTAAGCAGAATCACCTCCTCCCCCTGGTCAGCAAAAGTAAGCAAAGCTCTTACTCCCCCCCTCACGTGCTTACGTAAACATTGGTACCTAAATGCGGTTTTCCTTTAATGTATTCTGTTTTTTTATTGATTCATCGGCTTCATGAGCAGCAGTACTTAAATAGGCTTAGCATAGAGGACTTTAACGCAAGTAATATTCATTTAAATAAACTTTATTGACACAGTATTCAACATTGAGTAAGGTACTATTACGAACAAAACCAACTTCTTTCGATTTTTTGGTATATGTATACAGTCTTCAGTCCATGACACCCGAATCTATGACGCTGACGTAATCACTATCTCGACCCCCCCCCCCTATGCCATTAAAAATAAGCAAATCAAAGACCCCCCTGCCCCCCTATAGTGCTTACGTAATACTTGAACTTATATAACTGATTTTTTCGTAACAGTATGTAAACAGCAAGAATGCCAGCATATGTAAATAACATTATATCTTATAAACTATAGACACCTAAGCTTAACAATATAAAAGACAATCTTTGGCATCTGCAGCCGAACTAGGATTTTCATCCTGTATTACAGCATACAGAGCGCCTCAATCCTCAGGTTTAGACAATTACTTGCATCCTATAAGCTAGTGAAGATCATGTTCAATGGCGATATTGCAAGAAATACCTATTTGGTTTTGATTTTAGCAAACTAGTAAAATAAAAATAGTGAATTGTGAATGTGAAGGACCTCCCTGTATGTAATGTGCGAATGAATGGATGTATGTGAGAGGGTGTGTAAAAGTATGCAATGAATATGAGTATAGAGCAGTGTAGTCTGGTTTAGCAGTGTAGTCTAGTATAGAGCAGTATAGTCGGGTATATAGCAAAGTAGTCTAGTATAGAACAGTGTAGTCTAGTATAGAGCAGTGTAGTCTGGTATAGAGCCGTGTAGTCTGGTATAGAGCAGTGTAGTCTAGTATAGAGCGGTGTGGTCTGGTATAGAACAGTGAAGTCTAGTATAGAGAAGTGTAGTCTGGTATAGAGCACTGTAGACTAGTATAGAGCGGTGTACTCTGGTATAGAACAGTGTAGTCTGGTATAGAACAGTGTGGTCTAGTATAGAGCAGTGTAGTCTGGTATAGAGCAGTGTAGTCTGGTATAGAGCACTGTAGACTAGTATAGAGCGGTGTAGTCTGGTTTAGAACAGTGTGGTCTAGTATAGAGCAGTGTAGTCTGGTATAGAGCAGTGTAGTCTGGTATAGAGCACTGTAGACTAGTATAGAGCGGTGTAGTCTGGTATAGAACAGTGTGGTCTAGTATAGAGCAGTGTAGTCTGGTATAGAGCAGTGTAGTCTAGTATAGAGCAGTGTAGTGTAGTCACTTACCTTCGTAATCTCCTCGCCAGCCTAATATCGGCGTCGGTATCCACGAACACTTTCATGTCCAGCATACTGACAACCTGCGCGTTGTAGAACGCCAGTATGCCCTCGAAGATTATCACGTTCGCGCCGTACATTGTCTTCTACGCACACAGACAATAATCTTTTCATAGTAAACAAAAAAATACGCTTCCTGCCTGTACGCTTAGATCTTTTCAACTAACGGATTCTAAAGGCATAGTTCTCTAAGAAGAAAGTTTATATGTATACTCTCAGACTTTCTGCCTGTCATGACTTTTGGTCGCGCCCAAATCGTCAGTCTTTTGAATATAAGCTACTACAGGGTTCATGTAACGTTTCTAAGAACGGAAAAAATATTGATCTGCCGCGGTTTGCATGATATGGGGGTGGCCGTACGAAGGGGTAGAATATAGGAAAAAATAACCGAGCGCGTCAGACATTGAGAAGGGATATTACGTGAACCCTCCAGTAGCTCCTATTCAAAAGACTGACGATTTGGACCCGACCAAAAGTCATGGCCGTTTGTTGAAATTTTGTTTTTGCTGCACTAGACGTTTGGCCCTACATAGATGGCTCAGGTATAGTGGGAGTACTTAACTGCGTGCAAGGTTGCTCCCCATATGTTATTTCGCCGCACTCGAGTAAATCCAAAAATCCCCGTTTGGGCTCCCCTACTATAGGTAACTTAAATTGTTTCGAAAAAAATAATAATTGCTTTATAAAAGAAAAAAAAAACAATAAAAAAAATAACCGTGCTCAGAATTGAACCATCGATCCTTTCATTTGGTGTCGACCCCGATACTGTTACCGTTCGGCTATCTGTATCTTGCAGAGAGTTACAAAATAACGGATACCTTGTGTCAAACACTGTTAAATTTTCGTTTCATCGAGTTTCAAATCACAAATTGCTAAAGAAATTATTACTTCAAAAAAACGACGGGTTGCACTCCGGGAGTGCCGGCAGAAGTGAAAACTTCAATATTAACGTTGTGCATTTTTGATATTTTAGAATGGTTAGGGATTAATTTTGCACGAATTGCTTTAATTATCAGTATAAAAGTACTATCATGTATGTGGTAGAATACAATACTTATTTTTTAATACAGTCGCTCAAAAAGTGGCGTATTGCAGGGACGTGTAGCGTTCGGGATCTGGGCTATTCCACACTAGTGCTTTTTTTTGCCTTTCCCGAACTCGTGCGTTTTCTTTCCCAACTGTCAAAATTATTTCTATTAAAAAAAACAACCATGAAGTTTTAACTAAAAAAAATCATAGAAGTTTTTGCGATTCATGCAAATAGGTTTATTTGTTTTTAAAAAGAAGCTACCTATACTAATTTGTCCAATATCAGAATTAATTAATTGATTGAATGAGTTAGGTAAGGTTTCAGTTCATTTCATATCATTAAATTTCAATTTCATTTCTTATAATAAAAAATACTAAGTACTAAAGACTTGGCTGTATGGGCAGTTCCCTTTGCCTACCAGAATGGGTGAAAAAAAACTGCTTACATTCTACGGTTGGCGCCATTTTTAGTTGTTTTTACACAAAATGAGTAATTTCGACCTAAATTTTTTTGAATTAACTCCACCGGAACTCAGTATAGTTGCACAAAATGCTTCGGAGAACGTTTTACCGGAAAAGTCAAAAATTCGCTACATATCTACATACGATGAATTTATTGCGTGGATAGAAGAGAAAAAAGCAAATAGTTTTTCAGAAAATGTTATGTTGGCTACTTTTCCGAACTCTCAGCAAAATTAAAACCTTCTACGTTATGGTCAAGGTTTTCTATGATAAAAAGTATGCTGAAAATAAGGAACAACGTGGATATAAGTCAATATCCAAAATTAAATTCTTTCTTAAAATGACAATCAGACGGGTTTACCAGTAAAAAGTCGAAAATATTAACATCGAATGACGTGGAAAGGTTTTTGAAAGAAGCTCCCGATGATTGTTATTTAGCCACAAAGGTAATTTATTAATAAGTATACATATCTACATTTTTCTTTAGTGTTCAGTTTACAAAAACGCAAAATACAGTCAATACATTATTTATATGAATCAAATCGTTTTTTTAGGTTGCTCTGATTTTTGGCGTTGTTGGAGCTTGCCGCAGAGAGGAGTTAGCCAATATTACTTTAAAAGATATTGAAGCCCATGGAGAAATGCTACTTATCAAGATTCCAAACACAAAAAATAAGATACCGCGAAGCTTTGTTGTTGAAGGAGATTTTCTCACAATAGTGAAAAAATATATGAACCAGCGGTCCCAAAAAGGAAAATCCGACCGTTTTTTTCAAAATTTCCAAAAAGGGAAGTGTACAGCTCAAGTAATCGGCATAAACAAATTTGGTAATATGCCAAAAGAAATAGCTACGTTTCTTGGTCTGCCGGATGCTGAGTGTAATACTGGGCACAGCTTCAGAAGGACCTCTGCTACATTATTGGCAGATTCAGGAGCCAATTTGACGTCCTTAAAGCGACTAGGTGGTTGGAAATCAGACAAAGTTGCAGAAAGCTATATTGGTGATTCATTAAATAACAAACTAGAAACTGGGAAGAAGATCACACAATCCATTAATTTAAGGTCCAGTCCGTCTCCTTCACATGCTGAAGAGAACGTTCGTCCATCTACGAGTACCTTCGTTGATAATGATAATTCATCAGATCCAATTCCATCAACTAGCAAACGCCATTGTATGACAAATATACATGAACAATCATACGAAATTAATAATAGTTTTTTTTTTTTTTTTTTTATAGATAGGTCCGACAAATGACTCCACCCCACCTGATGTTAAGTGAAGGTGAAGTCCAGACGTGACGATAGCTGATACAGCAGTTTTACCTGCCACACCAGCCATCCTCACCCTGCCGGCCTGCATGTTGCTTCTTCACGCCTCTTTTAAAGGATCCCAGGTTGTAAGAGGGAGGGAACACGTGAGCGGGCAGAGCATTCCATTTACGGATAGTACGACAAAGAAATGAGTCACCAAATTTCTTTGTACGCGTTGGTATTGTGGCCACAGTTAGACGATGACAACGTAGGCCAGCGCGCGTGGTCCTCTGAAGGAAAGGAGAAGGTGGGATAAGAGAGAATAACTCCTCAGAACACTCGCCGTGGTACAGACGATAGAACGCGCTTAGTGAGGCCACGTCACGGCGTAATTGAAGAGGCTCAAGGTGTTTAGTCACCTCCTCATCGCCTATGATGCGGATCGCGCGTCGCTGTAACCTATCCAAAGCATCGAGCAAGTACTTGGCGGAGCCATCCCAGAGGTGCGAGCAATATTCCACGCAGGACCGCACTTGCGTTTTGTACAACAAGCACAGTTGATCGGGCGTGAAAAAACGCCGCACCTTGTTCAGGACTCCGAGTTTGCGTGAAGCTGTTTTGATCACGGTTTCGATGTAGTTCTTTGGATTCAGGTCTGAGCGAACTTCCATACCGAGCATGGAAATGTTGCTCTGCAGCGGTAGTGTTGTGCCCTGAAGAGATGGAAGGGGAAGGAATGACGATGTTTTTGCCGTGAAAGCGCAAGCCTGAGTTTTTTTGGCATTGAACTCAACCAAGTTCCTGATACCCCATTCGGAAATGTGGTCCAAAGCCTGATTGAGTTCAATGACAAGATTCTCGCGTTTCTCCTTGGTTACCGCCAGCCCAGCCGCTGCTTGTCCGAGATACCCCGCATGCACTGTACTATCGTCTGCATAGCAGTGAATATTCCCAAGAGGAATTAAGTCATTGATATGCAGCAGAAAGAGAGTGGGGGATAGGACGGAGCCCTGGGGAACGCCGGCATTCACTGACATGAACCGCGAACTGCTACCATCCGTAAGGACACGAATTCTACGCTCATGCAGGAAGTCAGCCACCCAAGAACAGAACTGGGCTGGCAGACCGTATGCCGGAAGCTTGGAGAGAAGGCTTTTGTGCCATACCCTGTCGAACGCCTTGGCAATGTCAAGGCTGATAGCCAACGACTCGCCACGCTTGTCGATAGCCTCACCCCAGATATGAGTTAAGTACGCTAGAAGATCACCCGTCGATCGTTTCGGTCTAAAACCATATTGACGATCATTAATCAAGGAGTGATCCTCTAGGTAGCGGGTCAGATGGTTATTAAGGACCTTTTCTAAAACTTTACATAAAACTGAGGTGACTGCTATTGGCCGGTAGTTTGCCGGGTCTGAGCGATCCCCTTTTTTGGGCACCGGTTGCACATTAGCATCTCTCCAAGTCTCCGGCACACGCCCCAAAGAATACGAGCATTGGTACAAGCGCGTGAGCACGGGAGACAACTCCGCTGCACATTTTTTAAGTACTACTGCTGGGATGCCATCAGGTCCACTAGCTTTCCGGACGTCGAGTGATTGCAATTCGGCACGAACCTCGCGCTGCCTGATTTTAATATCAGGCATCGTTGTGCCACAGTGAGGTAATGATGGTGGCAGTGCATTGCAATCATCGATTCGGGAGTTAGCCGCAAAGAGTTTTGCCAGTAAATCGGCTTTCTCCTGCGGCTTATGGGCTAGTGTTCCGTCTGGGCATCTCAGAGGTGGCAGCCAGGGCTCGCAGAAGTTTTTTTGCACGGCCTTGGCCAGACGCCAGTAGCTACGGGAGCCCGTAGGATGCGTCATAAGTTCCTGGCCAACACGTGCAACGCGCTGGGCATCCGCTCTAATGTAAGCCTTCTTACAGGCCTTGGAAGCAAAATTGTAGGCTGCTTTGAGTAAATCGACCTCGGGATCCTTGAGAGCGCGACCTCTGATCCAAGCACGATATACCGCTTGCTTACGCGAAGCAGCTTCAGCACAGTCGTGATTGAACCAGAGGTTACGCGTGCCCTTACTGATGAGATCAGAATGAGGAATATAGTATTCCATACCCATTATAATCTCCTCAGTAATGGCAACGGCACTGGCCGATAGGTCCCTGTCACTGAAGCAGCGCTGCTTCCAAGGGACGGACGCAAAGTAGTCACGCATACCGTCCCAATCTGCCGACCCATAATGCCAGATACGGCGCTTGACCACTGCTGGACGCGGAGGCTTGGCCTGTGGTGCTTTGGCAGATATCAGGCAGTGGTCTGACGAGCCCAGGGGGGCTCTTACCACA